TTTTCCCATTCTCCTTTAGCAAGCAAAAATCGGACAGTAGTACCTTTTGGCAACTGGGGTTCATCAACACCTATTGGGCGATTATATTTTACCGATGGTTTGGAATATATCCGCTCAAGTTTTGTGGCGTCATTAGGACTCATCCCAATTAGCTGGGTTGGAGTATCATTCATATTATCAACAATTCTTCTTGCAAATCGTTCACATTCTCTACAGCGCTTGCCAGTAGGTAGGAGAAACTCTATCGAATACTGATTTTTAAAAACTCTATATTCGAATAATCCAGCATAACGATCGATCATTGCGAAACTTGTATGCCTGAAACGTGCTATAATTCTTCGGATTTCAACACCATGTTCATCCATTAATAAAGTTACGTATCCCATAAACTCAGTGCCCTTATCACATTGCATTTTTCGAGGCCAGTTGAGAGGCTTATCGGGATTATCATATATACTCTTAAATGCTTCCGCGACTTCTTCACTACTTTTTGATGTTAAAAAAACGAAATCTTTATATCTAGTCGCGCAGTCTATAACCAATAATACATAGTAATATATTGGGCCATCATCTAGTAAATTTGTATCCACATCTTCATCATATGGTATTTCGATTAAATCACATTGGTGCACGGTATTTGGCTTCGTGATTTTAGAGTAACTGGAATAGGGAATATGCTTTGGTGAAGAGCGGTAGATTTGATACATTGCCTGCCTATCAAGCCATTTTTTCACATTAGTAAATGGGAAGTTGTAGCTGGCTTTTTTACAAGCATCCCATAATCCTTTAGCATTTTGATAAAGACCCTCAGGACGATAATATAGTTTTTGTAAGGCAAGATACCGGTCTAAATCATGAGCTTTTTGAGGATCGATATTAATTGTAGGTGTTTGTTTTGCTATGATTTGGTCTAGCTCTCACGCTTTCTGAGGATTGATATAAATAACCGGTTCTCCCATTCCAATTTTTTATAATTACGAAAAAAGTTAGTATCTATGAAGTTAAATTCTACTCATTAGCTGAGGCACTCTTTTCCCTGCGCTTCTGCCTAGCCTCTATTTCCTTCTGCAGGTTTAGTGGAGTGTCAAACCTTAGGCGGATTGCAAGGGGATCATCTTCCGGCCTAGTGAGATCAAATACAATAAATTCACCTCTTCGAAGGTAGCTATTAATGACCATCGATGCATTTTTCACATCATCAGTATAACGGCCAGCTATTTTGGACACATCTTGTTAGCTACCACCACCGTTATACATTACTAGGTGGGAGATATTCTCACGAATGAATGTAGGGACTTTATGGTATTTTTGGGTTACATATATACTTGAAATATTTCGATGACGCCCATTTCCAAAAAATTGGCCAATTTGATTTTGCATATGTTCGGGGGCTAAGCACAGATCCTCAAAAATAATTACTGTGCTTCTTTCAGGTAAGAATGCTCTTGTACTAGGAATCTTTTCAGGTGGGATGTACCTGAAACTAATATCCTCATAGAAAGGCGCTCTCGGGTCTCTTGAAATCATTTTATATATGTATCTCACATATGCCCATTTTGGTTCATCGGGATGATAACCACATATAATCAGGTCATCACAGCAGATATATCTAGATCCGCCTTTCTTTCCCTTTTGCGCATATTCATCTTTATCACCAAGAACAAGGTTTGCAAGTAAATTTGTCTTACCTGAACCACTTCTCCCAGTGACTAACATGCTGAAAGGCCATGTCATTGCTGGATGTCTAATATTTCGGGATGATTCATGCTTTGTAACTTCATCCATATCCAAAAGACGAAGTTTCATAGGAAGCAGTCCTGTCTTTTGGTTCTTCTGCGTATTGGATCGGGAATCCATAACTCTGATTTCTATTTAAGGGTATTTTATAGTTCGGAATATTTTTTTCTTCATTGTAAGAAGAATTTCTACGAGAGAATACGCACCATAAAATGCATATGATTAGTAATACTATTATGAAGATGATTGCATACTGAAAAAATGAGGAATTAGGTGATACTGAGGTTGTTTCAGGACTAGTGATGCCGTTATCTTTCTCCAGTTCGCTAACACCTCCAATCACTTCAGACTTGCTGGATGTTTTTGGGATCTGCTTGGCTAAACGAGTATTATTTAGGACCGCT